GTTTCACTTCCTTGTCACCAGTTTAATGGATGTGCAACTCGGACACCGACAATAATTTCCTTCAAGGTAGCAGCTGGGGTGGTGTGACCATGAAGCTAGGTGTGCCCTAGTTTCCATTCTTCCAAACTTTTATACGTTTACTTTCCTACTTTCAATCTCTTTCTGGGACTTCCCTTGTGGTCGAGTGGCTAAGACTGTGCTCTTAATGCAGGGGAGTCTGGGTTCAGTCCCAGGGAACAAGATCCCAAATGCCACAACCAAGACCTGGTACAACCAAGTAAATAAATAAATGATAAATGTTTAAAATCTCTTTTTGCAGAGAGACTTAAGAGTGTTTTCTAGATCTGACCACTGATCCATCACTGGCTTGGCTTCCTCTCCTCTACCATCTACCACATCTCCAGGCTCAGAGAGAGGGAATACAGAAGGCCATACACTTACCCAAAGAGGTGTCCAAAAGGAGACTGAGAGTCAGATTCTGTTGGTTGCCTACAATAGCTATCTTCCTTTATCAGATCAATCCTTATTCCTTATTAGATCAACTTACAGCCAGGGCTTGCATGTATGACCCAGTCTTGGCCAAGGAGCCTGAAGAGAGTATATAGAAAGTAGGTTCTGGGATAGTTTATTTTCCTGACAAAAAGAGGCACACAGGAAGCACTCTCCTCCCTGCCAGTGAATGGGGTCCTGTGAGAATGTGATGCTTGGAGCAACAGCAACCATCTTGCAATCAAGAGGCAATAAGTCTGAGGACAAAAGTCAACACATTGAGGATAGTAGAGTGAACAGGTAGGAAACACCTAGGTCTAAGTTGACATTTATTGAGCCTCTGAATTAATCTTGGAGCTCCCTACTTCTAGTGGGCGTCACCCTGGCAGGACTCCTTGCCTCTGCCCTACATAGAGGCTGGCTCAGAACTCTTCAAAGTTTTTTCCCATGCCAATATGCTGATCTCAGAGACACTGGGACCTCTGGGAGCTGGGCTGGGACTATGGTGAGGCAAGTGAGGCACTGTTTTTGGATGCAAAACTTAAGGGGGTTGCAAAAAACTCAGTGGTAATCAGGATAAGTATTTTAATACAATATTTAAAAAAAATAAAAACTAATGTCAAAGCACAAAATGAACAAAAAAAATTAATCAAGATTTTGAAATAAAGACAATAAAGATTCAGGGTCACCAATTAGGTCTGGTTTTAGGTTTCTGTACAGGGGGAAATGGCAACCCACTCCAGTATTCTTGCCTACAGAATCACATGGACAGAGGAGCCTGCCGGGCCATGGTCCATGGGGTCGCAGAGAGTCTGACACAACTAAAGTGACTGAGCACTCACGCACAGGGCAATCCCAGTGACTCTGACCTATGACAATTCATATAATGAGGCAGGGTTCTGGGGCTGTGAGAACTGAGTTCAAGGCTGGGCTACAACTGATGACTTACTGGCGATCCCAAGCATGTCCTTTCCCTCCTCTCTGGATTTCATCTGTTCTTCCTGGAGGCTGGGGCATTGCCTAGATGGCCTCCTGACCTATCTTCCTCATCCCCCCATGGCCTGCAGAGGGTTCTGTCCCTTTTTCTGGGAGGCTGCGTCTCCCAGGCCATCAACTCCTGGCTATTAATATCTCAGCCATCCCTGGCCTGATCAGGGTGTTTAATGACTGCCAGCTGTGGCTCCGGCCCCCCTCCCCCAGGAGAGATAAGAGCAGTTCCTGTTCCCACATGGAGGGAACAGAAAGGAGCGGGGGAGGGGGGGTGGGGGTGGGGGGGGGACGGCGGCAGGGGTTGTCATTGCCCGCTAAAAGAGGCCCTGGGCAAGTGATGGGAACTGAGGTACTGATACCAGCTCTTCACTCCAACCACCCCCACCAGCCAGATGGAGGTGCCTGGGGATACAGACTCCCCGTGCCCACCCCCGGGGGCTGCTCTGGTCTCCCTACCTTCCGCCTGGGCTCTGTTCCCTTAGGTCAGGTTCCAACAGTCTTAGGTCTTCTCCCCAGGTACCCCACAGACCTTACTTCAGCATGTTCCAAACCAGTTCCTCCTCACCTGGATGATGGACTGGCAGCTTTTCCTTGTCCCGCCCCTGGGGTCCTTCTCAGCAGCCAGAGTGGCCTGACCCAAACCCACCCTCATCCCTTTGACTTCATTTAAGAAGCCCCCACTGAATTCCTGCTGCAAAGAGCCCCCTATAGTTGCTTCCTTGGATTCAGGTGACTCTGGCACCTCTTCTGCTCCCTTGGGATCTGGCGACTCCTTCCTAGTCCTTGGGAAGTACCCCTCACCTGGAAGATGCTCCTTATCCATTCTACTGGCAGACTGGTCACCCTCCTTGGGCACCCTATCCCCTGGAGTGGCAGGAGTCACCCACATGGTGGCAGTCTGTGCCAGGATGGTGGGGGGGGGGGGAGGGTGCTACTTGTCCTTGTCTTCCCAGAGTGAGCCCACCTGAGTGAACTGGGCTTTGCCCTTAGGGTCTGGGGCCAGATGTGGTCAAGGGCCAGGGCCTCGCCTGCAGGCCACCAGAGGTCTGGTTCTACCTGGGGTCAAAGCTGGGTCCGGGGCTGGAAGCACTGTCACAAGGGCTTGGTTGGAAGGCCCATCCTGGGTCTCCTTCATCCCAAGCTGTCCCTGGGGTCATTAATCCTATGTCTTCACCACCTCCTCTCTCTTTTGAATCTCATTCTGAAATGGATCTGAGGAGAGAGGCCTGATCTCTCTGTCACCTGGCCTTCTGGGGAGGGGCCTCCACTCAGGTATTTGGGTCCCTAAGGCCAACCTTGATGAAGTCCTCGAGGCAGCCACCAGGTGGCGATAGAGATGAGCTGGTCTGGTCTGACTGCCCAGAAAGGCCCGAGAGGTACTGGTGAGCTGGAGGAAAGAGGGGGTGCAGGAGAAATTCTGCTCGTGGTCACCCCCATTCTACTCCCAGTTCATACGCAGCCTGGGGCGTCTGCTCATGACCTCTGCTGGTGAGGAACCATGTCTCAACTTCTCTCCATTCCTGAATGCCCCTCAACCCCAGCAGGAGCCGGGAGTTGTGGGGGTGGCAGGGCCCCACCTCTGTCTTTTTTCTTTTTTTTTTTGTCCCTGTCTTGGGTCTCTCTCTCTCTTTCCACCCTCCTGGATGATAACTCTGCTTCTCTCCCCAGATATGACTCACTAATGGTGGGATTTTAGGCAGAGTGGAGAATGGGCCAGGACCAGCAGAAAGTTCGCAGGAAGGGGAACCCAAGGAGGTCAACTGGAGCAACGACTTTGAATCCATCCCTTGCTGACCGGCACCATCTTCTTCGCCCTGCAGCCTCTGTGTTTAAACCTATTAGAGGTATTGTCTGTTTGGGGGACACTTATTCTGTCCTCCGCCACCTGGACAATGGTAACACGGTCACCTCATGACCTGTGTGCTCCTTGGCTGTCGGTGCCCAGACGTAAGCATTTGTGGGACTGCGGACAGCTCCGTCAGCTGTTTTGCACAGTTCCAAGAATAGAACTGTCTCTTGTTGGTTGGGTTTAGAGGGCAGGGGGACACAGCAAGAATGGGATATAACTTCACCACACTCAGAGAAGAGAGGGTACCACTGAGCAATATGTGAGTTGAAAGCCCTTAGAACTGTGTGTTCCTCACATGGAAGCCAGAGGGGTGGTGGCGTCTGACTTCAGTGACGACTTTGACCAGCCCTCCTTGGAATGGGGGGTGGGGGGATGGCCACGAGTTGGAAGCTGGTCCGCATTTTACCCCACATGGGAACACCAACCACCAGGAAAGCCAGGCTAATCCAACCCAGTGTTTATTGTTGCACAAGCCTGTTTGCAGTCCCGAGGGGATCTTCTGGTTGGGGCGTGGATAGCAAGCCTTGTGGCCACAGGAGTGCAGGGAAGATACAGGCTGTGACAACCCCCAGGCTCTTGTCCAGAGGATACACGGGCCAGAGGACTCCTCAGCCACACTCTGGGGAGAATGTGAATGGGGTTCGGGGATGGTGCGAATAACAATACCAGTGGTGATACAAATAAGCAAGAGGATTCAGCTGGTTACAGTATATAAAAGGCAGCAGTTAAGAGTCTGTGCTTTCACTTTCCCATCAGCAAGACCTGAGTTCAAATCCTGTCTGTGTGACAAGGTGAGGTACCTGCTTTGGGTGAGGCTCACTGTGATAGTGCCCACCTTGCAGGGTTGCTGTGAGGATGAAGGGACCTGTGAGCGTCCATCATCTCTGAGCCCGGTGCTAATAGTTGGCACATAGGTGGGCAGCTCCCAGAGCCAGTGAGGATAGGTAGGGCTGGAGGTAATCTCTTGGAATTAGTCCAGCCTTCGCGGGGCAGCTCCACCCTAGCGGGGACTATGGAGATAGCTGCCCTCCCCAAACTAAAAACTCCTTGTTTACAACCGCACCTGCTGGAGGCAGAAAAACTCATTCACTGCGAAGAGCTGGCAGCTATGAGGAGGCACTGAGGGAGGGGACTGCATGTTTGGAGAGATGCCTGAATGGTGATGCTTAACCCAAAAGAACCTGATGTCAACGGTGGAACTTCAGGCACTGTCCAGGTGGTGGTGGCAGGTGACCTTTCAGGGCAGTACCCTTGTCGCCTGAGATAACAGCACATTCCCAAATGCACTGTCTGGGGATAGGCGGTGGCCTTTCTCCAATGGGTCGGGTGGGTCGCGTGAGCTACCAGGGGTGGAATCAGGCGAGAGTATGCAGATTTCTTGTCCTCAATTGGCGGAGGAAGTCTTTGGGGGCGGAGTCTGAAGACAGCTTCACCCCACGTCTTCCAGGTAGGACCTTCCAGTGTTCCTCCATCTATGTACCTTCCTCTCTCCAGGCAGGCGCAAAGGCAGCGTTCTCCAGGGGCTTCCGGACAGTGATCTGGGGGCCCGGGGAAGCCTCCTGAGCTCAGCGCTGGGGCTGACCTCGCCCGAGAGGTCTCTGCCCCCGGTGCCGCGCGGGGTGGCGGGCAGTGCCGGCGAGAGGTGCCGCCCACCCGCCGGGGCACCTGGTGGTCAGACCAGGGAGACTTCGGCCTGGAAGCTGGAGGAGCGGCCAGCGCCAGGGCTGACGCGGGTCAGCATGGAGACCTGCGTGCTGCACGTGGCCCCGTTGCTGCCTGCGGATGGGTGCTGGTATTTGGGGTCCCAACCCAAGACGCCCTGCAGGTGCCAGCGCCGCCACTTCCGCCGCAGCTCTGCCTGCACCTGGGAGAAGGAGAGTGGTCAGGCCCGCCCCAAGGAAGCCTCCCGCCATGCTGACTGCGCCGCACTCCATCTAGGATGCGGAGGCAGGCAGTCATAGCCTCTTGAGGAGTCTAATGTGAGGGGCCAGATGCTACTTTGGGCGCTGCAGAGATGGGACCTCCTTGGAGCCAGGCCAAATCAAGCTATTGGAGTTGGGGGAGGTGGGAGCCAGAGAGGATCAGAGAATGCAGTCTAGGCAGGGAGTGGGATGCTGCAAGGGGTGGGTGGCGGTACTCTAGTCTCCAGATCCTTGCCCTCTAAATCACTGAGCTCATCCAAGTAGATTTTTGTGCTTTGTAACCAGGCTCCACAGTGACTCAACCTTGCTGCCTCCACCCATCCCTGCTCACACTGCACATAGCCACCCAACACAGCACTTCTCACACTCTTCTCTCACGAATCACACGAATCCCCGGAGATTTTCTTCAAAGCAGATTCAAAGTCAGCAAGTCCGGGGTTGTCCCAGAAATCAGCATTTTAAGCAAGGTCCTAGGTGCCATCACTGACGTACTAGTCTGAGGACCACCTTTGGCATAGCAAGGTTTGACCCTTCTCTGCTCCACACATCAGGGTTTTTGGACCCTGGGGCTACCAGACTTCTGTTCCCTGGCCCCCAGGGTCTGGGAGAGGCTTACCTCACCATTCAGGAAGCAGTAGAGTATGGCCACCACGAAACCCTAGGGAGGAAGGGAGCAGAAGTGAGGTAGACAGACTCGGAGAGCCCCAAGCCCTGCCCCACCCATGTTTCCTTGGATAATCAAAGGGTAGATACTTATTACAATGAAAAGATTGTCATCTAGGGACAAGAGGCCAAGGACCCAGGAGAATCCCCTCCCTTAAAGCCCAGAGAAGAATGCAGCCTTATGTCCACAGTTCCTACCTGGAAAGACCCCACGACGAGCTCAAATACCATTTTCACTTCAGCCTTAAAGTTGTCGGGGAAGAAGGCGAACATGATGTAGTGCACGCCAAACAGGGGGATCAGCAGAAGGGTGGACTTGGCCAATCTCCTGGGGACAGGGGAGGGGCAGGCAGTGGGCATGGGTGTCCACACATGTGGGCACAGAAGACAGGGACAAGGAGCAGGATGTGTGAGGATGGGCTGTGGGGTCTCGTAAGCCCTATATCCACATGTTTCTGTTCTGCATCTGCAGTGCCTATATCCTCATGCCCCCCCGCCCCGGGCCTCCTCTCCTGGACAGGCTCATGAGAGAGAGAGCGTAACCCCTCTATTTCACTTCCTGGAGGAGAGCACATAAAGGAAGACCACTGCTGAAAAACCCAAGGATGATATGTAATAGTGGTTATTTCAGGCTCCATGGCCACTAATGGGGATATTAAGCAATGGGAGATCATGGTTTCTCTTTCTCTGGTCTCAATTTCTCCAATTTGTACAATGGGGCGAGTGTATGCTCAATAAGGTCAAGTAAGAGAAGTGATTTTTCCGTCTCTCTGTTGTGTCCAACTCTTTGGGATCTCATGGACTGCAGCACACCAGGCTTCCCTGTCCTTCACTATCTCCCGGAGTTTGCTCAAACTCATCTCCATTGAGTTGGTGATGCCATCCAACCCCTGTAAACTCAGAAGCGCTTTGGGCGCTACAAAGTGCAATGTTTTCTTGAGAGACCAATGCTTTACTGGAATTTGAGGGCCTTTGGGAAGGAAGGCTTTGTCCTTGGGTAGCTGACCACATCTGTCCATGGTCACTTGGGAGGATGGTGGGTGCTCAAGTTTGTGCTTGGTCACCAAGGGTGACTCGGGGTCAGTTAGCAAAGCCCTGTCTTTGGCTTCTCTGCTGTGTCCACTTCCCCAGGAGTTGCTACCTTTTCTGGGATCATACCCCTTTCCCCCTGTCTCCCCCTGACCAATACACGCAACCCCAGCATTCTCTGAAAGACCAGCTCTTCCTTAACAACCATTGTGTGTTCAGCAGGGTCCACAGTCACTTGATGACTTGCCCCTTTCCCGTGGAGCAGGGCTCATCCTGGTTCAGGCCTCCCAGCCAGCCCCCTGACCTCATAGTTGGTCCAGGCAGCAAGAACCCACAGTCCTCACGCTGGGAGAGGTCTGAGGGCTGGATGTGTCTCTGCCTTTCTCTCTCCTGCCCTGGCAGTCAGTCCAGGGGAGCCTAGCCCTGAGCCTGAGGACCTACCTACTCCTTCCTGGACCTGGTTCCCCACCACACCAACATCCCCAGCCCTGCCCACCACTCCTTGGCTGCAAACCTATCCCACGCACCCGCGACTGACAGATGGAGGCTTTCTTTAAATTGAAGGCTTGTGGGGAGGTGGAGAGTGGGAGCTGACAGTCCCTCCACAGGGAGCTCCATCTTCCACTCCCCCCACCTCTTCTGCCTGCCGACAGCTGTTCAGTTTCCACCTCACCCACGTGGACCCGGCGATGACCGGCTCGCTCTGCCTCAGATCCAAGCCCTTTTGAGCAGTTGTATGTTTGGGGGAAACAAGGCCCCGCAGGCAAATTAGAGGAAGAGCAGGCACAGGCCTGCTGAGCTAGCCCTTGGGCCCACTGCAGCCCCTGCAGGGCCTTCCTTTCTCAGACTGGAAGGGAAGCCCCGCCTCCACACCCGGCAGGAGGGAGAGCTGTCACACCAGGAACTCAAGTCGTCTTAGTCTCATCAGAGAGAATCGCAGGATTCCAGAATAGAATCCTAAATCCAGCAGCTCGTGACATTCTTTCTAGCCAGATTAGAACCACAGCACAGATTCCCCAGAGAGAAGCCGGGCCCAGGAGAACATTCTAGAATCCCAGGACTGAAAGGCCCTGGTGGAACGCCCCAGGTTCGTCTTGTCCTTGCGATGCAGATAATCAATCTCCTGCTCCCATCTGTGGGTGTACAGACCGACTCACCCTCCCGTAGCCACCCGCTTTGTGTTTCTCTAGTTCTGTCGTCCAGCTTAGTTGTTTTAATGAAACCTGCCAGTTTTCTCATCCACCCGCCCTCACAAGCACAGGAATACCCCTCACACCTTTCAAGCAAGGCTATGACCTCTGTCCCCACAGACACTGTGCCCTCCCCCCACCATGGTGATGTGCTCCCAAACCTTTGAGGAGGAGGAGGGAGTATGGGTCAGTTTCCTCATCTGTGAAATGGGTACAATTTGGAGGAGACTTGGAGAAGGAAAAGGCAACCCACTCCAGTATTCTTGCCTGGAGAATCCCATGGACAGAGGAGCCTGGCAGGCCACAGTCCATGGGGTCACAGAGAGTCAGACATGACTGAGCAAATAACCCGTGGAGGAGACTATATGGATGGAATGAGATGAAGCCTGGAAACCCCACTGCATGCGCCTGGCATGTAACCTGTGGGTGCCGTTGCTACTCTCAGGGGGTACTGAGCCCCGAAAATGGCTGTCTCCTTGGTAGACCTGGGGCTCCCCTGAGGCATCCGTCTACCGCACCCCATTTTTGAGCCAGGCACAAGTCAGGCACTGGGCATGTGGTGTGAACAGGACACAGGTTATCTCCTATCTTCTTGAGCTCCGTCGTTTAGCAGCAGACACACAGCAGGGCAGATCACCTTCTAGGCAAGTCGTGAAGAGAAGTAGCCCTGGGACTCACGGGCCAGGTGAGGATGGGGGTGGGGACATGTGTGGACTGAGCCGGGCCATGGGGTGGAGCTGGGCAGAGCATGGTGGCTGTTTGGTGACTCTGGCAGGGAGCTTCTAGGGAATGGGGCATGATCTGAGGACTGGAGCTGGGGATACTGGGAGGGCCGGGGCCCTGGGTCCGTACTCACGAGTACGGGCTGCTGTCACTCTTCCCGACATCTGGGGGCCGCAGTTTCTGAACCAGGATTCCAATGATGCGAATGAACAGGATGAAATTCACCTGGTGGGTGGGGCCCAAGGTTAGGTGGTCAGAGAGGGGAGGAAGGGTCTTGAGTCCCCTGGAATGATGGCCTTGTCCCCCAGGGCCCAGTTACCGGTCTATTGTACCTTTCCCCCAGCTCTTCCCTCTTCGGGAGAGTCATCTAGGAACCCTCTTTCACACCCCCAAGGGCTGGGCCTCCCCATTTGCTTTCTCTACTCTAGAGGAAGAACTGCTGGGGAAGGACTTGGGGACAGTCCTGCCTTAGGCATCGATCAGGAAGTCTAGGTTTCAGTTCTGACCTAGACATGAATGTCCAGTGGGATCTTGGCCAATTGTCTACCTACTCCGGGCCCACTCTCCCCATCCCTAAGTGGTGGGAGGAGGCCTTACCAAGATGGAGGCGAGGATGGGGGCCTTTATGATCCACCACAGTGAGGAGTTGATTGTGTCCCAGCATCTGGGGCAGGGGACGGGGGAGAGAATGAGGGAGTTTGTCCTCGGCCCAAGAGAGTCAGTCCTCCTCCCGCTATCCCCAGCTCTGCCCCGGAGCCCTTTAAAAACCACTGGCCCAGAGTCTGTTACTCCCCAGCCCCTCCTGATCCCACCCAGGGGATCTGCCCTGAGTGTCGGGAGCCAGGAGGAGGGGGCAGGCTGACAGCTCACCCATAATCCTCAAAATGGATCCTGATGATGGTCCACACCAGGGTGAATGTGCTGGGCACCCCTGTCAGGACCGAAGGAGAGAGAAAGAAGAGAGGCCATGGGAGAAAGAGGGAGAAATGAGGTGGAAGAACCAGGGAGGGATAGGGAGAGAAAAGGGAGGGTTTCCAATGCAGTCACTCATGGTGGCATACATAGACAGTTCACTCTGCAGAGATACTCTACTGAGGGGGCGAAGCTTTAAGACTGCAGGACTGTGCCTGTCTGCATAAATGGGGAGTCTTTCTCTCCTTTTGGCAGAGATGCTTTATAGATTAGCAGCATCCCTGTGTGTTTCGAGGGGTGATGGGGAAGTGGAAGGATGTTCAGAGAGCCTGTCTGTCCCACAGGTCAGCCCGAGGTACAGCTGGAGCCAGAGGGCGCCTGCTCAGGGGTCAATTGGAGGACTTTTCTCAATCCTTGGCCGAGTGCCCTGCAGGTAGGACTTGCAGTCCAGCAAGACCTAAGGGTGCAGGCTGGGTTGGTACCCGCCCCCCCTAAAGAGCTCCCCCAGCTTTGCCCCCTTATTCCCATCCTGGCAGCCCTCCCTGGTACCATACCCCAGCCGATGAATATGTACCCCCAGAAGTACTTCCGCTCGGAGAAGAAGGAGACGGCGAGCAGGGTGTGCAGGTAGAGGCCCTCCACCAGCAGCCAGAAGAAGTTGGCCATGACACAGTACTGGAATAAGACCACGGCTGCCTTGCAGCCCACCTGCAGGGGAGGAGCAGGGAGGGGCTCACTGGAGCAAGCAGGGGTCCCTGCCTGCCCACATCTCTGTCTGAGGTGATCAAAAGGACTGCCGTACAGCCAACTTCCCAGTTAGCTCTGATTTTAGATCATCAGATGCTTTGGAATAAGGTCAAAATTTTAATTATCCACCATGAATTTATTATCTATTTATCTTCCCATCTATGTATCTAGTAACTCACCTACCCACCCAATCATCCATCTACCCACCTATCTACTTATCCATACACTTACCCACCTACTCCCAGCATCCACTGTCAGGTCACCCATCTTTCTATCTACCATCCATGCATCCACACATCATCTGTCTATCGGCAACCATCATCTTCCATCTGCCAGTCCATCGACACACTCACCTATCAGTCTCTCCATTCATTTATTATCTACATATCAGACATCCACTATGGACTCAGACACCTGGACATCTCTTCATCCATTCATTTATCTACTTGTCCATCAGTCTGCTCCTCCATCCACCCACCGATATACCACACCCCTCTACCAATCATCTATCCAATTTTTCTTACTTCATCCTTCTATCTTTCCACCTACTCAAGTCATCCACAAATTATTTACTCAGCCATCCAGCTACCAATCCATCCACTTACCACCTCTGCTACTCAATCACCTTATTCCAATTACTGTGGAAAGTAGCTGGAAGAGGTATAAGGGAGAATTCTTGCTTTTATTAACAAGAGTCCCTTGAGTGTGTAGGGAGAGGAGCTGTGGACTGTCTCAGGAGCCTCAAGGACAGGGGACGGGAGGGGGAACAGACCGCCTATAGCAGGGGCACTGTGAGCTATAAAGCAAATGGGGGGGTTAGATGGAATTGTTGGGGAAAGATAGGGACAGAGAAGAGGAAGAGAAGGGGGATTAAGAAATTAGAAAAAAGAGGGGAGGGGAGGGGTGATCATTCCTCTTGGGGGGTGAAGAAGCTAGGTGAAGCATGGGTTCCCTAGACAGGTGAGTGCGGACAGGGGAAAAGTCAGGGACACCTCTGGGGAAGGTAATCAGGGGCTCTGGGAGGCCCAGCTGGCATGATCAGAAGGTCTTCTGGGCCCTCTGTCCTCTCCCAGAAACAATCTTCCATTTCAAAGTGAGCCCAGAAACATGTAAGCCAGAGCTTAGAGACACCGACCTCCAGGAAGTCTTCTGTTTTCACTCCTCCCTACCCAGACCTCAGGTTCCCACCATTCTCTCCTGTGCCCTTGGCTTTGAAGCATCCTCAGAGAGCAGGCTCCACTCCTCTGCTGGCTGGAAAGTCCTTCCTCAGGTCTTACTTAGGTCCCTCCTGTAGGCAGTCTGTTTCCCCCGCCCTCCCTCATTGCCTGACAGCAAGAATAACTCAGATCTTTAACAGGGCAATGAGCTGTGCTTCTTCTTGCCTTAGAAAAGCTTCACAGAGCTGCTAATGCATAGGGAAGCCACTCTTATCCTCAACAAGTGCGCTGGAGGCTGCAGGCTGCTCGCCAGGCTCTGGGGCTCATGTCCCATGGGTCTGAGCCCAGCTCCCAGGCAAGGTCATCTGAGGCACTCTGGGAATGGCCAGGGTGGCCCCTCTTGGTGTTCCCTCTCCCTTGAGACACCCGGGATTCTACCATCGCTCTCTGCAGAGATTCACTTTCAATCCCACTCTTTGGGGAGAAGGTAGTGCTGAGTCCTGAAGTAACACACTACCTCTGAGGTCCCTCATGAGGCAATGAGTCATTGACCACAAGGGCAGACGGGAGACAGGACTGCTCTCAAGCTCTCTGTCTCTGCTCAGGGCTGCGGCGCACTCAGGGAGGGGCTCAGAATCACCTGGAGATGGGCTCCTTAGTGAGCAGGGCAATGACGTCTTTAAAGGCTCTCAGTCGCCCTTCCCTAGGCAGGTCCAGAGTGACTGACGGCAGGGGAAGACACGGAGAGCAGGGCGGTGTGGGGTGGGACTGGCTCCAGGTGGCCATGGGGGGAGGAGAAAGGGGGGCATGATGAGCAGAGCCCTGGGGATGCAGATGGCAGGGAGGAGGGTTGGAAGGAAGCTCAAATGTCCTTGCATGATGGGGAAACTTGAGGCAGGGAGTTCCCTAAAGTCCCATGGGAAGTTATCAGCAGAGGCAGGAAGGGGAGGTTATGAGCTGTGGCCCCAAGTGTCCCCTTTCCCACCCAGGAGAGGTGTTTCTCATCGGCAGGAGGAGGTGTGTGAACCCCCAGATGGCCAAGCACCCCCTCCTGCTGTGGGAGCGAAGTGGGATTCAAGGAACTGGCAGGCAGGGTCAGACAGGAGTTTGGCCATCTTCGCAGAGAGAGAAAAAGAGAGAGGGAGAGAGAGGGGAGGAAGACAGGAGGGAGGAGAGAGAGAAGAGGAGATTCAGGAGAGAGGGCAGAGGGCGGCAGGCCTGGATGGGTCCTCACCGAGCCCTTGGAGCAATGGTCCGTCTCCCCACTGTTGAAGAGGGCCAAGTCTTTGATGAAGACGGCGGCGGCCCTCAGGATGAAGGATATGAAGAGGTGCATATGGATGTAGTTCCGTGTGCAGTGGAGCTTCCTGTGGGAGGCGGCCAGATCTGGGAGGCTGAAGAAGGCCTCAGACCTCCGCCCCATCCAACACGTGCAGCGCTCTGAGAGAGGGGAGGACTCGAAGCCTCTGAATGCGGACCCTACCCTCAAGGGGGACCCTGTCCCCTGGCATCCTATCCAGATGTGCAGCCTGGCTTGCCGTACCTCCTTCCAGGGCACAGGCCTCTGGTGACCTATCCCCCGGTGACCAGCTCCCTGTGAGGGACGAGGCTGACACAGGGGAACACTCTGAGTGGCCTGCTGTCTCGAGGGGAGGATGGCCTGGCAGGGGGGGCTGGGGCAGGACTGGATAGGGGCTGACTGTGGAGCGAGGAACAGCATGCCTGGGAGTAGAGTGACCTGGTCGGTCTCTCTGAGGCCTGTGGCTCGGGCTGGTCCTCACCTGAACAGGCTCAGGATGGCCGTGGCGACCAGAAGGGTGGCGAGGGACAGGCTGTAGCCGATGGTGTAGCCGGTCTTCACAGAACTGTAGAACACTGTCTGCTGCTGCTAGAGGGAGGTGGGGTGAGGATCTCAGGTGGGGTGAGGGGGCGCTCACCTAGGGGCAGGGTGCCCTATGCGTCCTGCCTCCCTTCCCCTGCCTTGGCAGATGAGGAGGCTGAGGCCTGGGGCTCCCAGTCCCCAGACCCCCTGACTCCCTGGTTTCCACAGACGAGTCAGGGCTGCTTCCCGGGGTGGGGGCGGGGGGTTGATCTCAACTCTTCTCTGCTCCTTCACAGGAGAAATGTCAGTGGGGAAAGGAGCAAAAATGCCACACGTTCCACTGGCCCATCCATTCATTCTTGTCATGTGTCCAGCAGACCTTCTGGGCCAACTCTGGGCTTGGTATCCTTGGGCGTAAGACTGCTCACCATTCAGACCCTCACACGAAGCCCTCCCTCCGCACTGAAGACAATGGTAAAGAAGACACTAGTTGTTTAGTCACTAAGCCTTGTCTGACTCTTTGTGACCCCATGGACTGTAGCCCTCCAGGCTCTTCTGTCCATGGGATTTCCCAGGCAAGAATACTGGAGTGAGTTGCCATTTCCTCCTCCAGGGTATCCTCCCGATCTAGGGATCGAACCCAAGTCTCCTGCATTGACAGGCAGATTCTTTACCACTGAGCCTCCAGGGAAGCCCAAAGAAGACACTAGTGGTGGATCGTGTCACAAATGTGTGACTTGTCGGGGCTGGGGTTAGCAGGAGGAGGGCATTCTGGCCTTTCTGGGGAGGTGGGACAAAGCTGGATGCTGAGGGCTTCCTGCTGCCCCCTCCCCATGGATGCACACACAAAGCCATGGGCAGCCCCTCCTTCCTCCCCACCTCCTACTCCCTGCTGGAATAGAGGCCAGTGGTTAGAAAGGACTTAGTGGATTTAGATCCTGCCTGAGGATCTGGTGGGCTCTGAAGGCCTCTGAGAAAATTACTGCCCTCTTGGGAGGAATAAAAGTCCCTATCTGTGAAGGGCATCAGGAGTGGGACAGAAGTCATCACAGACAGCCAGACAGTGTTCACATATCAAAACTATGAGGGCCTCCTAGCTCAGGACTCCAATCACATTCCAGGCTCCCCATCAGTATCTCTCGCTGGCTCCTGGCCCCACATCCTTGGAGAGACCACTGACAGTCTGCTCCAGGGCAGATCCCTGCGGACAATGGCCCTGGCCCTGTCTCTGACTGGCTGCTGGGTATCTGAGGCCAGTTCCTTCCAGGATCCGCACCTCGGTTTCCCTTCTGCATGAGACGCGGGGAGGGGTTCTGTCAGCCCTGCCATGTCCAGGGCTGGAGCAAGGTTCTTGTGAGGGAGTGGGGTGGGCTGGCCTCAGGGTGAAGCCTCAGCTTTGCTGCTGTGTGTCATCCTCCTGGAAGCGCTCTCCTGGAAGCCCTCTCCAGGACCCTTCAGGGGAGCTGGGGGACGAGCCCCTGGGAATGTGGGCCTGGAGAGGGAGGAGGCTTGGGGAGGGCAGATGCCAGGAGTCCTGGCTCCTACACAGAGGGCAACCATGCCCCTTGGTGGGAGAGAGTGGAAGGAGCCAGCAGGCCCGGGCAGTTGTGTGTGTGTGTGTGTGTGTGTGTGTGTGTGTGTGTGTGTATGGTGCATGGAGGCCCACCTCATCCAAACTCGATGAATTGTCATCCAAGCCACAGGCAACGGGGTAGGGGCCAGGCTCCAGGGGCGTCCAGCCCGCTTCGGTGCAGCTGCGGCTCACGTTGCGGCCTGGGTGGAGGGTGGGGCGGAGAGGAGAGAGGTTGAGGTGGGAGCTGGCAGGTTGGAGGAGTAGGCATGGAGTCTGTCTGTCTGTGGGCTCAGCCCTACTCTTACCATCCGCTGCAGCATCACGTTCCAGCTGTTCTGACCTAGATGCCCAGGACATCATGGGGCAGCCTGGGGCAGGGAGAAGCCCCTCCAGGGCTTCCAGCGGACCCTCTCACACAGATGACAGGGCAGACATTGCTGCCCCTTGCTCTGTATAAACCTGACCTCAGGGCGATTTAAACCCTGATCCTCATCACAGGCAGCCTGGATCCTTGGCACGGACTGATCCCTGTCCCTTGGCATGAGCTGAAAGCTGACCCCTGTCACAGGGCCATGGATGCTACCGTGTCAGATGGTTTCTTGGTCCCGTGTGTACAGACAGCAGCCTTCTGGCTGGGGTAAGTGGCCCAGGCCTGCCCAGTCCTCCTGGGTCAGCCTGCCTGGGCCTACAGGTCTGGGTTTCCTTCCACACCCTGGGGCCAGGGGTTCAGATGTGCTGCTGGAGAGGGACCAGAGTAAGGCAGGAGGTGGGTGAGAGTTGGAGGAGATCTTATAAAGGCACAGATGTGAAGTCCTGACACATGGAGAAGTGGGAGTTGCTGGCAGGGGCACTTGCCCAAGCAATGGCAAGCATGAGAAGAAATGAGCCGCACAGGATTGCAGAATCTCGGGGCTGAACCGCTGAGGCTGGGTTTCCAGGGCAGTGCATGGTCCTCTGTCCCTGGAGGCCCAGGGCTGCAGACAAGGGATAGGACCATTAATGGGCCATGTGAGGTGAGGGGTACCCCTTAGGGTCCCCCTCTTCAGGGCAGGGAGGAGCTGGATAGGAAATGGGTGAGACAAAGGGGGCCCCCTCGCCTCTATCCCAGGACTCCTTACAGAGACTCTGAGTCCAGGAGAGAGCCCGCCTGCCAGGCTTGTGGTGGGAGAGGGAGGGAGGAGGAGGAGGGAGAAGGAGGAGGAGGGAAAAAGGAGAGGGAGAGAGGATGAGAGGAGACAGAACAGGTAGGAGGAGGAGGTAAGAAGTTGAGAAAGAAGGTGGGAGGAGAAAAGATTAGGGAAAGAGATCAAGCGAGTTGACGAGGAAGAACTGAGAAAGAAGGTGGTTCCTGACATCCTTGCCCTCTAGCTGCTTTCTCACCTGGGCCACCACTGTCAGCACCACCACCAACATCATCACCATCATCACCACGGACGTTTTGAGAACTTTCCCCAGGTACACTGGATAGAGCAGTTCAGGCACATTATCTTTTTTGGAGCCCCTCCATCATCACAGTTGGGGAGCCGAGCTCCAAGAGGCTGGTCACTTTTCCAAAACCACATAGGAGATACAGGGTGGAGCAGGTGTGGTCCCCACACTCTCCCCAGGTAACGTGGACCCTCATCTGCACTGAGGTGGCTGAGTAGTTAGTTCAGGTGTCCAGGTGCAGAGCTGTAGGAGGCGGGAGGCGTCAAGCTATCCTGAGCTCAGGGAGGGTCCCTGCACATGTTTGATACTTCGAAACTTGGCCGTGTGCTCAGAGCATCCCAGGTAACTCCCTATTCGCTATTTCCATGAATCTTCCTGGCTGCCATTTGAAGGAGGTGCTCGTCACCCCACTTTCTGGATAGGGAACTGAGGGATGGCTATGGGTGGGGGGATCTCCAGGAAGGAGCAGTTGGCTGGGTCTCTTTCCACTGTGAGGTTCCTTCCTGCCACTGTGGCAGGAAGGACTTTGCAGAGGAAGGGGCACTGGGCTAGGCCAGTTCCCTGGCTTACACTTTTTTTATCTAGTTGCCCGGAAAAACACACCCTCTTTCCCTTACAGATTCAGCCCCTAACCCAGTCTCCTATTCCTCACCATCATTTTCAGAGGCTAAGGCCGCCAAGGATAGCTGCTTAGGTTGTTCACTGCACAAGGGCATCTGGCTGATGGACACCGAGGGGTAAAGTGTACTTCCTACTCAGCTTGTCACAAGGTGGGTTCAGTGAGCAGTTGACTCCACCCGAGGAAGAGTTGCCTTCTCTCATCTGCCTGAGGGCTCGGTGGGGGCCCCAGTGAGGCTGGCAGCCTCCGCGTTAGCCAGATGGTGGGCTGGAGTTCCGGTTCTCAAGTGAAGGAGCTGCCTTCTCAATTCCAGCAGGGACAGAAGGAAGAGCCTCAGGAGGGATGCAATTAGCATAGTGTCAGAGTGGAATGCAATTGGCGGGCGCTCCCAGGGATCTGAAGAAAGGCTGGTTGCCAGACTCTGCTGAAGGGAGCATGATGAGAGCTGCCCCAGGGAGCTCAGCTCCTACCTGCCCAGGTGCTGGGTCCCCCTGGAAGAGGGCTGGGCTAGGTGGGTGCTAGCCTGGACTGTGACATGCCTGTGGCTGAGGCATGTCACAGAGGTCACCCCCAAGGAAAGCACCCAGATCTCCTTGACCGCTGAGCACGCATCCCTGAGCACTGGGGGGCAAAACATGACTGCCTCGAAGAGACCATTTGGTCCCCCTCCCATTCTCACTTTACAAACAGGGAAATAGGCCCAGAGGGGGAAAGGTCACCTGGAGAGAGAGACTTTTTGCTCATCCTCTCAATTCTTATCTAGGTCCTGTCCATCACCACCCCTTCCCACCCCAGCCCTGCTCCTCCCTCTGTCCTCCCCCAGCTCATCAAACCCATGCCTGAGTGGGGCACACGTGACCCCTCCCCTCCCTCTTCCCCCACCTGCCTGCTTCCCTCCCCTGACTTGCTGTCCACCCAGGTCCAAACCATCATCATCTCTCCTCTGCCCTGGCGTTGGGTTTTCCCATTTGTACCCCCAGACTTCTCTCTTCTCACAGAAACCAGTTATCAGTTAAAAATCCCCAACTGGACCGTGTCCATCACCCGCTTAACTTCCGTCATGGCTTCTGAGTGAACTTAGGGAGAGCCCACATCCTGGCAGTCCTCCAGGCCTCTGCCTGCCTGGTCTCTGTCCTCTCCTCCCTCGCCTGAGCTCACGTGGCCTCCACTGAATTTCCTCAGGGCTCACACCACGGACTGTGGATCCTCTCAGCGATCCCCCAGATAGGATCTTTGAGACTCTTTCCCAGCCCAGGTCTTCAGACAGTGGTCCCAGCATTACCTCCTTGTAGAGGCCGCCAGGACGGCTGCCTTAGCTTGCTTCTGCCTCTTCTCTTTCCCAGCACTGCTTACTACTTATATAATATTTGCGTGTGTTTTCTTGCTAAACGTCTCTCCAACTAGAACATGAGCTCCCTGAACACAGCGCATTTTATCCTTCTGACCCATGCTGTGTTTGTCCAGCCTAGTGCCGGTCAAGCTAGTAGGTGTTTAATGATCATTCTCTGAATGAAAGCATGACTGACTATGTGCGCTAAGCCCCTTTAATTATTCAGTAGTAAGACGGCCCATTTCCTGAAGCGGTTCCCCCTTTTCTTTTCTGCCTTATATGTGCATATTTACTTAAGCAGGACCTGAGAAGTTGTGTAAGAAAGGCCAGTTTCGCAGAGTCTGAAGGGTCATTGCCTCCAGGTAGTGAAAGAATGAATCAAGACCAGCCCCCCAAAATGGGAACATGGGAGCCATAACTGTCAATCAGTTATCAATCGCTGAACAAATATTTAGTGAGCCCTTCCCACATGCTTATAGAGCTAATCAGATGTCATGAGCCCTTCAGAGAACTAATAGTGCAGCCTCTTCCAGGAAGGCCCCCACCCCCGATTGCTCTAGCCCCTTTGAGCACCTCCTTTGTCGTCTCACTTCCCTGAGAGGTGATTCCCCACTCCAGCCACCTCTACTTCTGCCACCCAGCTCCCGCCCTTCAACCTGAGGTTCTTACCTTGAATGGGGGAGAAGAGCTTAAAGATGAGGGGACAGGCCAAGACAACCACCTGGCCCCTAGGGGTGGCTGGCCAGCAGGTGAGGTTGTCCCACATCTTGCCGCAGCCTGTGGGGTGAAGGCAGAGGACACGTGGGTCAGCATAGTCACCAGGTGCCTCCAGCCTTGGTCCTGAGCCCACAGGCACCCACTCGCTTCCTCCTTGTTTAGGCTCCCACCTTGAGGAGCCTCCGGTCTGAGGGGAGACAGGGAGGGAGGAGAAGGAGGCATACCTACAGGTCTATGGTTTTTGGTGGGAGACAGAGCTCCCCTTGTGTGTTTCGAACAGCGGAGAGGGTTTGTTTGTTGCGGAGATTGTGAGGAAGGGCCTCTCCAGCATTGGATGCACAGGCGACAGGGATGCCAGGCAAGCATTGTGCGCGGTCCCGCACAACGGTGAGCTCTGTAGCGTCTGGGACTCTCAAATGAGTCGCTGGGAGTTTGCACAGACGAAAACCTTTTGTAATGACCAGAGGCTAGACTCTTACTCCATTTTATAGATAAACACAAGGCACTTATTGTACGGGTTTGACAGTACAAGTTTTCCAGGAAAGAAGCAACCAAGTAAAAGGAGAGAAGGCTGGGCTTTGCTGTGCTCTGAACTTTACTAAGAGTTGTTCAATGTTTTGGAAAATCACGTTACTTATGGCAATGCTGCCCATGAACCTGGGTCAGTGATGCAACCAGAGTATATATCAATCTACATTTAAAGCGCTCACATTCCCAGAATTTATATTTATAGGTACAACCTTTAGACTCTGTCTTCTTATCTTTTGGTGTGATTGTGCTGGAATGTGTACACAGAATTTTATTATACATGTCTTTATTCTATTTTTGTTTTACGTTATAATTAGGACATCATTTAAAAAAAGGTGCATGTCCTAAGTTTCATTTTAGAATAGTAAAGGAGGCATTAGAAAATATTTGTTATAAAAAGGAGCTATTGGGTATGATAGGGTGATGAATATACTGGGGTTTATTCTAGTTCTTGAGGAGTCTTCATAAAACTCATAAGACAACACCAAATTACCATATGGACTGTAGCCCACCAGCCTCCTCTATCCATGGGATTCTCCAGGCAAGAATACTGGAGTGGATAGCCCTTCCCTTCTCCATGGGATCTTCCCAACTCAGGGATCAAACGCCAGGGCTCCTGCATTGCAGGTGTATTATTTACCGACTGAGCCACTAGAGAAGCCCACCATAAAACAACACAAATGCCTCCAATCCAGTAAAATTGTGAACTGTGACAGGGGCTGGGGATTAGGGAGTGAACTTGGATAAAACCCTGTATCACAGGCTGTGTTCTCCAGTGTGCATCTGTTCACCTTGCCTGGTGAAGCCTGCACAGTGGGGTTTCTAGGGGTCCATTTGAATAGGCAGATGCCAATGCTGTGGTCTTGCCTGTTCAGGGTCTGGGTGCCCCTGAGGAATAAGAACTCCTCTGGATGCCCTCCCCCGAGGGAGGTTTAATTGTCTCTTTGCAACACTGCCAGTCCCATAGATTTACTCATGAAACCCAACCCCTGAGCCAAAGTCAACGCCAGCTGGGCCAAACCCAGCCCATCCCAGGTCCGAAGGTTCACGAGTTCCCAAGAACGGGGCCTGGGAAGAGGAGGCAGAAGGACATCCCCACTCAGGGAAGAGCCTTGAGCCTCTGAATACGAAGGTGGGCCAGCAGTGGGGAGGGTAGGGGTACCTTCTGGGGCTGCGGGAGCCAGGGGGCACCTGCAACTGAAGGCTGAGAACACCTGGATCTCCGAGGCCTGGTCAGAGAGCACAGGCTCCCTGCCTTGGGGACCCCATCCGCTACCACCCATCCTATCCTGAGACTTTTGAGGCCTCACTAGGGCTCCTGTCTCTCTTCCATCCCTGTGCCCACATCTCTGAAAGCCATGTAGCTGCCAGTCAAATCTTGCTAGATCCTGTTAATGGTATCATCAGCAAACACTTATGCAGCCTTTATATGTGGGAGACATTGTTCTACTCTCTTTACGCTAAGAACTTATTTAACCCTCCCATTTTACTGACAAGCAACTGAGGGACAGAGTCATCACACAATGAGCTCCAGGTCTCCAGCAAACTGCTTGCCCTCCGCCTGGTCTGAAGGACTCGAGACTCTTTCTCTGGGAATTCTGCCTGGCTGGTCTGTGGATAGCCCTAACGATGCTGGGCATACCCTGGCTTGCAGGCCAGCTATTGTGTCTGGGTTCTTGCCAGGCTTTGGGCTCTGTAGATTTCCAGCAGCCACCCGGATCAGGAGTGGATTCAGAACTGGGTGTCCTGAGCTCAACTTCACCGGAAGCGGCAGAGAGAGGAGGAAGCCTGGGCTCTGCACTCCAGGGGCGGCCATGCTTGGCCTCGAGGAATCTCAGTACCGCCAGCGCTGGGCTGTGAACTGCTGGGGTACAGGCTGGTGGGCGGGGTGGGGCTGGGGGGAGCCAAGGTCGAGGGGCTGACACCTGGTCAGGGAGGCTTCCTGCAGGAGAGAGGAGGGTCGGGAAGCTGAGAGGGGGTGACAGCCAAGAAAACGCTGGGCATCTGGAGCACCTGTGGTTGTGAGCTGGGCCCGGGAGTATTCTCTGTGCGTCTGCCCCGGGGAGGCCACACAGGTCCCACCGCACAGGTCACCAGGCCCACAGAGACCCAGGGCCCAGGCTGGCTATGCGTGCCCACAGTGGGGCTGCAACCTCAACGGGAAAGAAAGCTCAGCCTGGGTGCGGGATGGCGAGGCAGGGTGGGGACCTCTGCTGTGTCATTTTATAGATCTGTGTGCACAGACACACACACTGACAAGCATTCCCCGGCACACAGAATCACAGACACACATGTAAACATGCATACAGGTATGCTTACTTGAACATGGAAGAACCAGACATAAGCAAACATAGGCACAGAGAGACACACACAACTCACGGACATACCTGAGCATACCACAGACATTCACACACACACACACATACACACACACACACCACAGGGCGGACATATCCAGGCAGGTCCAGGCTTACACAGATATATGCCTCCAACATGCAAAGACACTCAGAGTCAGACAGAGCTACAGGCTCCAGAGGCACAGAGGCAGTCCTAGACAGACGTGGGCCAGGAGTGCACAGCCAGATGTGCACGAACACGCACAGAGTCCTGCGCAAGGTCATGGGCAGACTCACCGCCCACAGACCCTTCATGGCCTCCTCTGCATCTCAGGCCGACTGCCTGGTGACAGAGTGTTGGCTTCCTACAGGCACCCTGTGCCAGCAATGACCTCATTGGGATCACAAGGGTGGCCTGCCCTCGGGGCCTGGGAGGTGCTCTAGTGGGCCTAGAGTCTGGTGTCTGGGCGTCTCTGGGCTGCCCATGATCCCGGATCTCACTGTTGAGACTTTCCAAGGCTGTGTGCAGCCTGGTCTTGACTTCCTGCCCCAGAGGCAGGCGTGGGGGGTGCGGCGTACAAACTGTAGGCAGGTCTGGCTAACCCTCCCCTGGGCCATAGTTTCAGGGCCTTGGGAGACAGAGGGCCATCCTTCCTTGAGAGCTGGGAGAGGTAAAGGCCATCTGTGATGCTGCGCACACTCAGAGCTGCAGGAGGTGGGAATCAGAGCTCAGAAGGAGGGACTTAGGCTGGGGTTCATGACTGTCAGCCTCAGTGAGATGGGGGGACAGGGAAGCCAGGAAGAACAGATGCTCCCTGCTCTTGAGCCAGACTGCTATGTGGCTGTAACCCTGGCTTCAGGGAGGTGACCTCTGGGAGAGAGACCCAGAGCTGGCCCAGGCACCCCACTGCTTCAGCCCTCCCCCCCACCTCAGAGAGGTGTGAATGCTACACCCACTCCCCACCCTCCACAGGCAGTTGGCCTTGGCACCTTCTGACTTCCCAGACTCTCTGCTTCTCCACATCCTGCCCGCCCTTCTGAGTCTGGCTCCAGCAACAGCTTTTAAAGGAAGCCCTCTATTTCCTTCCATTCTCACCCCACGTTTGCTGAGCCAAATGTGGGGGGCACAAGATTGGGGAGTGAAGACCAGAGGGTGATACCATGTGGTCTGATGGCCCTGTAGCTAGGCAGCCTCTACCTGAGGGTGCAGCAGGGCTCACGGTGAGAGGGAGGTGGGCTACATGGAGGGGGGAGGGTTCTTTCTTGCCACCAGGGGCCTCACCTGCTGTTTCATTCTCCAGCTGCGCCTCCTCCAGGCACTGCTCATGCTGTACCGCGATCATCCGCAAATAGTCACACTCTTCCTGCTGCAGCCCCGCCGCCCAGCCACCCTGGGGGAGCGAGACAGGGAGAGGGACCCGTCAGCCTCATTCATCCACAGCCTACCTGTCTGTCCGGGGACTCCAGGAGCATGGGGCTAAGCAAGGCCCAGTCACCGGACTGACCCAAGTTCCAGACTGAACCCCAGCCCCAGTCTGAACTCGACCTTAGACTGAAGTCTGACCTTGACCTAGATCTGACCCCAAACTCTTGTGCAGCGTCCCCCACAAAGCCCTCTGCTGTGAGGGCCCTGTCATGGCTTCCTGATGGCTCCAGCAGTACTGTGGCTGTAACAACACTGTCTCTGTGGGTGGCACGACTCTGGACAGAGGTCAGAGGGCCTCTCCTTGGAGCCCAGAACTGGCCCACAGGCTCCTCCAGCTTGGGCTGGGAGCCCTGGGTCCCTGTTTCGGTCTCTGTGGATGAGTAGGGCCCAGCAGGTGCTACCTTGTCCTGAGTTGGACCCTGGCTTCTGGTCCTCGGAGCCAGGCCTGGGAGGAGTCCAGGAGTCTGGCTCCATCTTTCACCCTCTGTCCCCATTCCTGGAGCCTGTGCTTCTTCCCCTGGGTCACCAGGCAGGGAGGCGAATCCTCCTTGACCAGAACCCCACTTAGCTTCTGAATAGTTCAAGCTCTGGCAGATCTAGTGAGGACGAGGGAAGTCTCAAGAAGTAAGAGAGGCCCTTCTAGAATGGCTCACAATCCAACCAGGCCTCCTCTTGCAGAGGTCACCGAGAAGCCCATGCTTCTCCCCTCCCTCCGCTGTGCCCTGGCCAGGGATTAAGGGTAGAGTCAAACCTGTGTGCCAGGGAGATATTGGCATTGGGGCTGACATGTGAGTAGGGGTGAGAGCTGCCCAAGAATAGCCGGAAAAAACAGGTCTTGGGAGTCAGGTCTTGCGGAGGAAGGTGTGGTAAAGGCCTCAGTGAAGAATCCACTGGGCTGGTGGCAGTTTCTGCCAGTCTCTTTGGCATTAGGGAAGTGGCTGCCACCCTGCTTCCTCATCTCTGCCCAGGGAGAAGAATGTCACAGTCCCCAATAGGGCTGTGGGGAGAGTCCCACAAGATTGCTCCAGAATCAGAATTTCTTAGTGTCTCTTCCAGCTTGTCCCCCTCACCCTGGGACAAGGTCTTGGCCCTCAGTTTCCCTATGAGCCAAATGGACCTTGGCCCCCTCCCCTGATGACTCTAAGGCTTCTTGCAGTAGGATTCTGGGGAGAGCACAGGTGTGTCGGGGGGTTCCCCTTATTTCCTTCTTTTAAGGAGACCCCTGTCTGGCCGCTAGGCACTGAGGGTGTGACTTTAACCAATGCTCTAGACAAGTCAATCCCACTGTAAGCATGTGACTCCAAAGAGGGACCACAACCTTAAATCTCATATCTTTTCTTTTAAACAGTTATATGAACAACTGTACCCTGCTCCATAATAGATCTGTGTTATTTTCCATATGTCAGCTTCTAAATGACTTGTGCTTAGTCACTCAGTTCTGTCCAACTCTTTGTGACCCCATGGATTGTAGCTTGCCAGGCTCCTCTGTCCATGGGGATTTTCCAGGAAAAAATACTGGAGTGAGTTGCCATGCCCTCCTCCAAAGGATCTTCCCATCCGAAGGATGAAACTCAGGTCTCCTGCATTGCAGGTGGATTCTTTACCATCTGAGCCACAAGGGAAGCCCAAGAATACTGGAGTGGCTAGCCTATCCCTTCTCCAGGGGATCTTTCTGACCCAGGAATTGAACCGTGGCCTCCTGCATTGCAGGCAGATTCTTTACCAGCTGAGCTACCAGAGGAGTCCTTTAAATGACTTACCAGCTAATAGTTTTACCCTATTACTGGTAGAGTTAACAGTCCGAGATGGAACCCATGTTCTCTGTGTGGCTTTCATGCTAATGGCTCATGGGTGAGTGAGGTCTGGGTGCTGGGTCACATGATTCCCCTCTTGCCCCAAAGTGTCGGAGATTCTCATGGTGCTTTGTCTTAAGGGATTTGTGCTTGGATCATCCTGCTGGGGCATGGGAACAAGGGTGGCCAGAGGGATCCCAGTGGTGGCCTCTGGAGGAGGAATCCAGGGATTGGCCACCGCAGCTTGTGTCCCACCATTGATCTTTCTTGCTTTGTTGGAGCACACTTCTCTCAAGGGTACCTTCCCAGTTTGCTGTCCTCAGTTACAGGGTGTGTTCTGCCTTCTGGTGTTTCCCCAGCCTTGCCCGCCTCTCCTGCCCATTTTCAGCTGCCATCACCTCCTCAACCAATTTTAGTTAAACCCAATGGCTCAGCAAGTAAAGAATCTGCCTGCAAAGCAGGAGATGCAGGAGACGCGGGTTCAATTCCAGGGTTGGGAAGACCCCCTGGAGAAGGGCATGGCAACCCACTCCAGTATTCTTGCCAGGAAAATCTCACGGACAGAGGAGCCTGGCAGGCTAAGGTCCATGGGGTCGCAAAGAGTCGGACATGACTGAAGGGAATGAGCATGTACTCCTCACTGTGAAAGCAGGATGAATAGTAAGTAGTAGACTTCAGAGTCACTGCCTTCTATCGTTCTTTACAACTCTTCCAGTGCCACATCCTCGTTCTGTCTGGGAAATCATGCCCTTCCCCACTCCTAGTCCATGGGTTCTGATGAACCCTCTCTCAGGGGATCAACATGTAGTCAGACTTAAACCAGTTAAGAGTGTTCCTGGCCATAGTGCCTGGCACATGGTCCAGTTCACACTCCTCAGAGCCAGGAAGCTCATTCCTTGGACCTCGGATTAAGCAATTAGGCAAGTGGATTTGTTCTTGCTCACTGGACTGGAAACCTCAGAGGATGCAGGGGCTAGAACTACGGCTACCACCTTGTTACCAAGTAGAACCCAGTGATGAAAGCTGCATATTAAAGGCAGGAAAAAGAGATGGAGAATAATGGGATCCTCTTGACATTATCTGAGCCCTTGAATGCAGCCATGCCTGAAACCAACCCTGCTTCCAGCAACACAAATACCTTTCTGACCCAAATACCTTTCTGTATGGCTGAAGCCAGTTGAGTTTTCTGTCCCTGTAACCAAGAGTCCAGACTTGTGCTCTGAGACTAGGACAAAGGATGTCCGCATTTGCTGAGCCTTCTTTTTTTTTTTTTAATATTTATTTACTTGGTTGCACTGGGTCTTAGTTGTGGCACACAGGATCTTTAGTGGCAGCATGTGAACTCTTAGTTGTGGCATGTGGGATCTAGTTCCCTGAGCAGGGATCAAAACCAGGTCCCCTCCATTGGGAATGGAGTCTTAACCACTGGACCACTAGGGAAGTCCCTGCTGAGCCCTCTCAAGCCTGGGCTATGGCCCTGCTGTTTGCCAGGACACATTTGTTTTCCAATCACTGAGGGCATCCCAGGGCTCCTGGCAGTTTCTGCTTGCTACTCTCTGAGGGTGAAGACTGCAGGGTTAACTTCTGTAGGCAACTCTGCTCGCCCAGAAGCACAGTAACAGAATCTCTACTGACAGGCACTATGTAGAAGCAGGGCAGGAGCCCTTAGGGTCACCTGGGATATCTCTGAATAAAGTGGAGGTGGTCTAGAAGAGGAGTCCTGCTTTCACCACGACTGAGTATTGGGCCCCATCTGCAGAATGGTGGAGGAAATAGAGACCCAAAGAGGGACCAGAGGTCAGTCAGCAATGCACATTTCCCAAAGGACCTAAGTCTCTGGCCACTGATCTGGACAGCATCAGTCCTTCTCTGTGGGCTTGCCTCGGGCCATCTGGTCAACCATTGCCCTTTGGAGGACAGGGCCGGGGCAGCTCCCTCTAGCCTTATCACTGAGGAATTCAGGCAGACTTTGAACTTCCTCTTCTATATACTTCCCTATTCTAAACATCCTCATTATCCCCCTGAACTCCAGACACACAAAATTAGAAAATTCCCAGCTAGACAGCCAAGTCTACTGGCCCCAGGGAAGGGATATAGCTGGTGTGTGGGATTCACAGAGAATCAGCAGTAGTGGTGGGCCTTTGAGGTTGTGTAAGAGTCTGATAATTAGAAGTGGAGTAAGGACATTCCAGAAAGTAGGAATAGAGTGTGCAGAAGTACAGAGGCAGGAAAATGCCTAACACAGTCATGTCTGCAAGAAGTCTGATGTGGCTTCAGTAAGGAGTGCTGGAAGCATCAGGAAACAAGTTTGGAGATGTGGACAGGGGCCGGGCCTCATCAGTCCCTGCCTGGACTAGTGCAGAAGCTTTCAGCCCCACCACCTGCAACCTGAGGGATCTTTGTAAACTGTGTCCTCATTCTCATTCTTCTGCATCAAATCTCTGATGGTCCTAGGAGTCAAAGCCCATACATCAAAATAGCATTCCAACCCTTCCAAACCCTACCACTGCCTACATCTCCTAACTTGTCTCCTGACACTTCATGGGGAGAGGAGAAAGTGGGGCTCAAAGTCAGTCCTACTTTGTTGTTTAGTTGTTCAGTTGTGTCTGACTCTTTTGTGACCCCATGGACTGTAGCCCACCAGGCTCTTCTGTCCATGGAATTCTCTAAGAATACTGGAGTGAGTTGCCATTTCCCTTCTCCAGGGGATCTTCCTAGACTAGGAATCGAACCTGTATCTCCTGCTTGGAAGGTGGATTCTTTACCAGTGAACAACCTGGGAAGCTCTCACTTTGCAGTTGGGTTAAGATGAGAGTTTCAGGCCAGTCCAGTTCCCCAATACCTTCTCTGTGACAGGCATTCCTGAGCCCAGAAGGGACTCAGGCAAGAATGAAGAAGTCCCTAGCATCCCTTCAGTTCTGATCCTGTGTCTCCTGCCATTTTGTTGGCTGCATGTGGGAGGTAACTGCCTGGGATTTGGAGTATAGTGCTGAGTGTCTAGCTGGGGGTCTGGATTAGCCATGTCTTGTTAATTCCACCTGCTCAGGATGCCCCTTCTTGTCTTTTCCCACTGTGAGGGGCTTGGGAAAGAGCCTTGCTTTCTCCTCCCAATGGGGGCCCCCTGAGATCTGGGGTAAAGGCTGAGGTGGTAGGGCAAAGGGTGAAGATACTG